ATCGTGTTAGTTTTATTAAAATTATTTGATTATTAAAAAAATACTGTAAGATTCCAAATGTCGCTGGCTTTATGATTATGTGCTATATAACTTTTAGTCTAATTACACTTTTTTTCGTTTTAAAGTACATTTACCTTATTTGTTATTTAAAAAAAGATCTGCGTATATAAAATGAGAAAGTATCAAGACTTTGTAAAAATTTTCCAAAATCATTTTCATCAATGTTGACTTGGAAACTGAAAAGTTTTGTCTGCATTTGGATTTCGTTGCAATTGCCTGCACGCAATTCATGCTGTTAGCCTATTTAATCCTTTTTTACTTGTAAATTTATTTTCTTTTTTGTTGTAATTTAATCTACTAAAATTTTGCGCTTTTAGGTATTCGGTTGTGTCCGTTGACATTTCTAATTACAGCTCCAAAGCACTTAAGCATGGCACATGTTTGAGTTTACAGTTTGATTTTATGAGCCATGGCCAGCTTTGGCAGTGTCCTTGCCGCCACACTGGATGGCAGCCTTTGGTGTTTAATTTTAATTTGCTTACGAATTACGTACGAATTTGTTCCGCGAAACTTCAACAGTAATTGGCGCAATTTGATTTCTTACAAAGCGGAGCGCTAATTGCTTCCGTTTAGTTTGACGTGCAAAATGTTCATTTACACTTAATTTAAAAAAAAACTAAAACTAATCACTTCACACTAACGTCAGTAATTTTTAAAAATTTCAGCAGCGCAGGATTGATATCGATTGAAATAAAATATACAAAATTTAAGAAATACACAGTATACGAGTATATAATTAAGTATATATATGTATCTACTTCGTATTGTTATATACAGAAATTTTCACAGATATTTAATCTTGTATTTACAATTATATGACTAAAGCTTAACGTTGAGGGACTCTCAAAAATCATTAGTGGCGACGCTACCAATAAGCGTAATTCAAACCAGCATTAAAATTAATTTCTTTTGATCAAAGCGTAGCCTCCACCAATCCAATGCAATTTCTCCCTTAAGGGTCATGCGTTCTTAGAGCATTGTTCGCAATTTGAGTTACCAACGTTTGTAGATTTCGTAAAAGCGCTTGTGTCCTCTTCGTTTCGAACTTGAAGGACGGAAACGGAAGTTTGCTCAGAAAGCGCTTTTGTTAAGCAAAGCAATTAGACAAATCGGTTTATTTAAACGTAATTAAGTACAGCATATTTTTGTTCTTAATTGCGATTATTACTTTTATTTATGGTTTAACTAGAAATCTAAAATGAAATGCTAATGAACCCAGAAATATAAAATAAATCCAAGGGTTCGCGGTTTAACGCGTTCACTTCTATAAATTCTGCATGAAAGGGAAAGAAATAATATTTTAGCATAACTATGATTTCTGTTTTTGTGCTGACAATATTTGGATTGAGGCATTGAACCCAACCGGAAATTAAAAAGTTCCTGAAGTTTTTCAAAACTCATACAATCTTATCATAAAGTGAAGTTATGTTTCTGAATTAGCAATATTATTCCATACATAATTATTTCATAAAGAGGTTTTTCAAACAGTAGTGAACTACAATAACAAAAATTCATTTTATATTATTTTAATTAATTGAATTTTGGTTGACCTTACAACTGTTTCGAATATTGCCAAATACCCATTATCAGTGGTCTTGAAAATAATTCTTCTATTTAATTATTCCTCAATAATTTTTTGAGACTGCAAGTACCAGGAATCGAACTCATATCCTACCAAATTTGAAGCTCAGAGCCTGCGCTCCTTAACCAACCGACCCAAGGCCGTACTTGACGTTTATGTTCGCACATTTTTCTGAAGTTTTGTTACTTTGCTGTGAAAATAATGATTAATTATTCATTATTTTATTAATTATTATAATTTGGATATTTTAAAAATTAATAATCATTATAAATTAAAAGATTTATAATGATAACTAATTCTAAACACAAATAAATAAAATAAATAATAAATAAATGACAAATTTTTTTTTACTGTTGTGTCTTTAGGTCTTATCGAATCTCATTGAAGATATAATATAAACTATATATATAAACTTGTACTTTAAAACTAGCTTAGTCAGATAATGTGTTAAACAATAATCCAGTCAAAGCGTAAAGAGGGGTTATGAAGAAACCTCGCAGTTAATGGAGAGTAAGAGTGCTCAAGTGCACTGAACTAGCCTCAACATAATAATAAATAAATTGTTTTGGTCTCAACTTGCCAACTTTTCACTTCATATTCTTTTAAGGCTAACATCTGTAATGACCAACTGAGTAAATAATATTACAAATTGTAGACTACATTTCTTTATGCCTTCTATTCAAGGCTATCTATTGAAGGATAGTTCCATAATCGGAGGATTTCGAAGAGTGCAATAAATTTAAAAATAACTAGCAATAAAATATCTTAAATTGCTCTTTGTGGTGTTTTACTTTGAACTTTAATTACTTTTATGGGATCCTCTTTGTAACTACAGCGTACGTGTTGGTGTAAAGTGAACGTAAATATCAAAATATTAACAAATATAAAAATACAATCTGCAGAATGAAAGACAAGCACCGGGAATATGGAGAAGTACATCATACATAAATCCTTCACTTAAATGCAACTTTGCAGGAGTAATTATGCATGTGTGCATATGAGCATATCTCGTATTTATAAGATAAAATTACAAAATTTATAAAATAGAAAAAAAAAACACTTAATGTAAAAATTGACACCCCACGGCTTTACTAAATATCTCACAAATCTTCCCCTTCTTTGATGCCGGAGAGTGTGCGAAAATGTTCAATTTAATTTTACTTAAGCGTATTATATTATAAATAAAATACGAGTACCAACACACAACACGGAAATAGTGATGAAGAAATAGTGGGGTACTTTCGTGTCGAGCAGCTCACAAAAGTTGAGTAAAAGAAATTCAGAGCATACGACAAAGTATTTAATTTTATTTTCAGATTTTTACTTAAAGTAATAAAATTAATGCAAGTAAAATTTGCACTTATACGCATTCCACCGCATATATCCAGCACCCACCGCCGATCCATAGTAAGTTCAGGATTTTGTGCACCGAAAGGAACACAAAAAGCAATTCCCCAAATGAGTTCAAGCTTAAAAATGTGCTGCTCTACGCTTTATGTCTGCTTTAACAAGTGTGCATTGTTGTAGAAGCGAACGGCAAAAGGATATGCAGGATATGAAGGAAAATAAAATAAGAGATGTAAGTAAGATGATACAAGCAACATGCAGTTTTTAGAATACTCCATGCAGAATGTATACAACAACAACAAAAACAACAGCAACATCGCTACATCAAAAACACGAACTGTGAACACCCATAAGCAAACGCTTCCAAGTCAAAAGTTAAACGTATTTGATGGTTTCGCAGACAGGAATGCTGTGCAGCTCATCAAAAGGATTCCGTTTGTAATTAATTTATTTTAAGTAGAAAATGGACAAAACTTTAGGTTGTAATTGTTCTTTCTATGCAACTCTACAGAAAGGAGCAACAATAAAGCAACTGCATTAAAGTTGCATAGCAGTTGCCTTAGCTTCAGCGATGTTGCAAAAAGGATAATAGCAAAGTGAAATGCTTTATTGCAGAAAAAAGCTGAAAATTTGTTTTACTTGAGGTAAAAGTTCAAGTTAAAAACTTCACAGCAAGCATTTTGAAAGCCTTTTCCTATCTTTTCATTACACATCTTTTTTTGTCTTTTAAATAATATGATTTAATTTTAATTGATTAAGTGAAAAGTTTTGTTCGTATATATTTTCACTGTGTAACATTATAAAAAGTAGTGAACTCCGTTAGTATAGCGGTTCAGTTAAAGTTGCTTAGAGCGGTTGCGAAATCGCAGGTGTGAAGGCTTTAGAATAAAGGTCAGTGACAACTTAAGCGCGTTGCAGACTATCATTTTTGTATGTCATTTTAGTTGTGTTCTCTCTTGCTCAAATTCATGCTAGCGACCGATCTTGAACATGCTGACATTCAAGAGTTGTCATTCAAGCAAAACTTTTGAAGAATAAGGTTGTTTACGCACGCTGTAAGTGTGTTAGGGCAACCACACAAAAATAAGCTCTTGAATGACGAATGTAAGTTTTTGGGTGACAGATTATTATTCACAACATGTTTTCGAGAAGCTGAATAGATTTTACTGAGCACGCCAACATGTTGGTAGCGTGTCATTCAAAGGTGCTGACTTAAATGTCATTCTTAGATTTTCTCTCTTGAATGATACTCAAAATAATAGTCTGCACCTCATTTTAGGGTAGAAGTTAAAATAAACTTCATAACTATTCATTACGGAACAATATTATGGTCCCTCTATTATAATTACGTGCAAAAATACTTATAAAATGTATTAAAAAAACATGCGATCATAATTTGTGATAATGAATAATATAACACAAAAATTAAAATGAAATATATTTTGCTGCATACATTATTTAATATTTACTTATTTAGTTAACGATTGAAAACGTGAGTAATCCTTGGCTAAAGAAAGTAACTGCCTTCCGCCAGCGCTATTAATGGATTGCTGCCGTCAGTTGATAATACCGAGTTCCTTCATATCATTGCGCACCTGTTCCTTTCACCAAAGAAGCCGACGTCCTCTACCGTGTTTTCCATCAACAGATACCGAATCAAACACTTTTCTAATATTTGCAAATATCATGCGAAACAAGTAAATAGCGAAGGTGAATAGCCATTTAGGCTCTAAACTCAGTCATTTCTACATCTTGGCCTTGGCCCCGGAACAGCAAAATGAGGAACTAAACAAGAAAACTACCTGACATGCAAGCAGAATATTTCAAATACCCTGAAATAGAGAAAAGTATGGTATCTTACAACTTGCAAACGATTGTACAATATTATAACCTAAATGCAATCTTAAGCAGACATTATCTGGCCTTTTCAATAGAACGTGGGAATTAATAGCTTTGATTTACGAAAAATTATTTTTATTTGAATTTTTAAAATATAAAATATATGCAATCATCAAATAAAACACTAAAATTGTATTAAAATATTAAAAAATAAACACGAATGAACGTTATTTGAAGTCTGTAAACATTCATTTGGGTTTAATATAAATTTGGAGCCTTGGATTTTCATGTGAGAGGACGGGTTCCTCAACTGCAAACATAAAAACTATGTTAAATATGAATATTATTAAAGTAGAGTAGTAAAGTTTCCCTACATATCTTTTTATATTACATACATACTTACCGCATTGTTGTTTTTGAAAATAAGACCAAAGAATGTCACAAATACCGCTATTTCGAATTCCAACCAAGCCAAGGCACAACAGAATAAGGTAACCCAAGTAGGATGGATGTTTTCCTTTGACAATTTTTATGCGCTTCCAAAAAAACAGATATGACCACTTGTACGTTATTTCATCGACCAAGAATAAATAACAGTATAAAGAAAAGCAATAGTTGCACACAATAAAAATTGCTATGGCTTGTATCCAGTAAATCAAAATTCTCCAATTAACATCCAAAGTTGACACACGATACAACTTGATCCATTTGCAGGTGAGATTGGTTAGCAGCATTAGGACACCACTAACAAATATACAGGATGTTAAGCATGGTGCAAAACCCGTACCAGCACTATTCAAAGGGTTAGATCTTAAGATATGCCATCCTACACCTGCCGCTGTTACCAAGAACTCCATGTTTCGCTCATAGCCGTCAAGAATATCTTTCAAAAGCTTGTAAAACATTTTTAGTTTTCTGTTTGGAAATGATTTGTGATCCGTTATCAAAAAGGTTTATAAAAAATATTTTCACTAAAAAAATTCAAATAATAATATTGACAAATGTTTTTAAAAAATCAAAAGCAACTTGATTACTTTTTGTCAAAAATTATAAATGAGATTTATTTCTTATTATTACACTATATGTATTAACATTAGAAATCTAAGCGGGCGAGAGCAACACCCCCTGCCTGTGTACGCCCATGTGTATGCATCATTGGTTAAATTCTTGGTCTTTCTACTACAACCAGTTTTTCTTTAGTCGTTTGTGATAGGCTTTTTTAGGTTTTGAGTTATTTATATATTACTATAATATTTACCTATAAATTTCAATGTATTAGGATTTCCTTTAAGGGAGCGGAAACTTATTTAACATTAATTAATCTTAATATAACTTATAAAAATATACTACAGTGTCATGGTACATCCGCACGAATGACGTGCTAAGAGTTCTTAAAATAGATCCGATCAAAAAATATATAAGGGACAGAGCTCTGAAGCTATATGTGAAAACTGACTGGCTGTCCTCCTTAGTACTATTTAATCTCAGAATAATAACTAACCACAGGGAGCGGTACGAAGATTTTAGATCAGTCATTGAATAATCATGAAGATTATGAGAAATACTCAAATTAGTTAGTGAGATGGGTGGGACTCTGCTATCAAAGAGTAAAAGTACCCAGATGCACTAACTCGGAAAAGGCTCAACATTGCATTGCATTACATTACTACAGTGCAATCTAACCAAGAAAGCTCAAACTGATTAGACTATGGAAGGTGAAAAGATTTAGTTTGCTCTTCGCGCTCTTATGACAAAAGAGTTAATTAAGTTTTTTTCACCTTTCAAATCAAGTGAAGAACATATTAGACTACAAACATATGTATAATCCATGGACACATTCTATAACGTTTTTTCTATCTCTTAGTAGACAAACTAGTCATACAAATGTTTCATCAATGTCTAAAACTTCTTATAAGGAAGACGAATATTCATAGTACCAGCCCATATTTTTAAAAATGTCTAATTTTATCGATGGATGTTGACGCATAACCGCGCTCCAAAATTCAGAATCATTTCGTTGATATATAGAAAATAAGTGATTATTATAATATGGTTATTTAGTAATTAAATATTTAGCAAACTCTATTTTATTTGTCTTAAAGAATATTTAAATTTCGACTATACAAGCATGACTAAATCAAAAAATATATTTTAATATATATGCATATGTATGTATTTGTACCCACCATTTTTTTTATGTGCACTTAATCTAATACATATTAACTAAAAACATTTTTTCCAACTTTTTTTCCAAAATCTCCAAGCGCATATTTGTAAGCGTTCCCGCTTTTAATGCTTTAATGCAGCACTTTTTTTCATATCCTTTTTTTGTTCTACTAACTAATACTCATGTTGCAATGCACATACACATATACACATATGCACATACACGAATCTGTTTTGAATATTTGCATATATGCCCTACATATAACCTATTTCTGAGGAGATCCATATAAAACATTTGCTTGAGCTCACACATATGGTGTTTGTGTGCGAGTGTGTGAGTAAATGTTACAGTAATGCGCAGATCCTTTCGCTGATTTATGATTTATGATGAATTATGATTCCCTTTTGAGTCATTTTGCAAAATTTTACGCTTTACAATTTTTATGCATTTACGTTTATATGCGGGTGTGTGCTTAAAATATTATTTTTCTTGCATTTTTCACTGTATTTCAATACGTAAATTATGCTAGATGCGTTCCTTTGTACGGAACGAAAAAAAATCGCTGCTTATTTCTATGCAATTTGAACAGATTCCGATGCAGTTGATGCAGTTGAGTTTTATCAAAATAAGATAAGAAATTCAGAAATGTGGATGTAGGTGCGAAAATCTATTATTTGCATTGTTAATTTTCCTTATATACTCGTATATACTTTGTAAGGAAATTTGTGAGGAAGAATTTCGAAACGTTATATATTACTATAATTGCACTCATTACTCAGTTGCGATTTTCGTGATTTTAGTTTAATTTCAATTTTAATTTAAAAAGTTTAATTGCTGTGTATGCATCATACTGAATTCAGCAATTCTAATAAGTACATTTACAATACTCTCGATTTACTTTTTAATATTGCAATAACAAATATCGATTGCTGAGCTACGGAGAAAAGTCATTTAGATTAATCACAAATTCGTTTAATACAAATTCTTTTGTTGGAATGCGATTTGATTTGATTTTGCGTTGATAGAATTTGGAAATTTGGAAATTTCGCAAGCACATCACGAAATAATTTGTAATTCTGCGGGGTAAACAGACAATGCCAACACCCTGCCAGCCAGACATGCTTATTTATGTTAACCACTAATAAGGCCAAAAACTAATTTCTGATTTTGTAAAAGGAAAGCAATAGAAAATGAAAGAATATAACAAAACAAATTTCCAAATACCGTAGAAGCGCTCAACGAAAAGACCAACAACACATAGAGAAGGCAATAACAATGGTTGCAGAAATGTCTTACATGACCCGAGGGAACTTGATAGGGCGCTAACATTGGAAAATGAACCGCATAGCAGTGAACCGACTGACACAAACCCATTACATACCTTAACTCATTACTTAAACCCATTAAAATGCTGCAATACTTCTACAACTCCGACATTAGCTTCGGTTTTCACCCACTACTACTGCATAAGAAATCGATACTTCATTAAGATATCCTGTTTTGCCTGGGCGCTTCCTGTTTTGTTTTCCTGATTACTTTAGTCGTTTTGCCAAAGTTAGCATATAAACATATTATGTGACTCTGTATCAAGTATATATATATATATATATATGTGTGTGTATGTGCATATGATAATGTTAGTGTGTTAGTCCGATAAACAAACTCTCTGTCGAAATCAGAGCTACTAGCATCGTTGGTTTGAGTTCCTTACTGGATGCACATATGGGAACTGCTGCGCTGCTACTCGTACAACTACTACAGCGAACACAACGCCGTAAATCGCGTTAAAGCTTTGACTTCCTGTTGAAAAGTTATTTGCCGCAGGATACGTGCACGTTACACTAACTAAAGCGATACCTTATTTTAGCAAAAAAGAATAGATTCGTCAGCTGAAAAGTTTAACTTTTTGTTGCCTGAAACGTGCTTGTTTTGTTATCGCATAGAAAATATCAAATTCTTATGCTCGTAAGCTCGTATTACATAAAACAAAGAAGAAAACTTCATGAAGAACCAATTTGGTAGGCAGTCATGAGCGGCTGATAAACGTACACTGGTACTGACAGCCAGTCAACGCGGTAGGAACGCTCTCATTCTTCTCTACAAACAAACCGGCAAACGGACCAAAATAGGTTAAATGAGCCGATAACAAACACGACAACAAAGTACAAATACGAGCGGCATGGACGGACAGGCAAACAAACACTTAAATACATAAGTAAATATACCGCTTAAGGATGAAAACAGCAAATAAGACAACGTGTAAACCGTAACTCTTAAAGGATGTCTATGCTGTTAACAACATTTAATTTGTGGTCGCTTATTTGGCCATATCAGTTCACCCATGCATGTTTGTTGGATTGTAGGTTGGTGTGCGCGTGTATCTTTGTCTGTCTAATTGTGGAAAGTAAGGTTATGTTTCGTTGTTTGTATTTCAAATGTTCATATTTGAGGAGAATACAAAAGAATATTACAACAATAAGTAATGTTAATGTAAACGATAACGGCTAATTTCATTGGTTTCGTGTCGGAGTTTATTTGAGTTCGCCTTCTTCTCTGTTTGCGGTATGTGTTTAGGTGTTGCGAATTATTTGCGGAAAATCAATGTAGCCAATTGATGTATAAATTAATCGAAAATATAATCAATGCAATGAAGTACGAAAAAATATATTTGAGATATCAACAACCTTTTGTCAAATTGAAAGCACTTTATTTTGATAAGTAAAACAGACTAAGCGACTAAGCTCTCATAGAATCAAAGTTTCATCTAACTTACATTATATCATCCTTTAAGTTCCTTAAGCGCAAAATAAACCTTAAGCTAACTGATATAGGAAGCTTAAGAGTTTTTTTTTGAATGGGTTCACGAGCATTGTGCTATAATTTAATATAATAATAAGAAAACCAAAATTTTGATTTTATAGCTTAAGACCAAAAGAGTTTATGGTCTTTACACTAGTAAAGTACTGATATAAAACTGACTTTCAAAATGTCTGCATTTTCCTGCAATTTGTTTAAATTTAAAAAATTAGAAATTACACAAATGAAGTTCGTCTTTAGTCTAAAATGACGGTATTTAGTTTATATTTTATTCGGAAAAAGTCTTATTATCTCTGTGCTGATACTTAATTTTTAAAGTTTTTGCTTATATTTAAGTGTTGTTTTATAATTTCGACGATGTCTGCAAAAGCAATAAACAAAGCAATCTAAAGAGATGTTTTATGTTATTCTTAAAATTTTACTATTTTACTCCTGAAATGTCTATATTATAAATTCAGTTTCCATTTTTAGTATGTTATTATTATTATATTATTATTATATAATATTATTTATATGTTATACTTACAATATTTTAATAGGTTCTAAACCAAAACTCCTGCATACGTAAATTTATATACGAATATTGGATGAAGTGGATGAACCTGCAGTTCGTCTACTTACTGTAGTACTAACGGGGCACTGTGCAATTACGCCTATGCTTCAACTGTGGCGAGTTCTAACATGTGGATTATGCAGTAGCTACCAAGATGAAGAGAAGGTAGAATCTATCAACCACTTCCTGTGTCTCTGTTCAGGGTTGCAGACAAAGCTACTTCAATGTTTTGGAGATTGATTTTTCACTAGCTTCGAGCAGATAACGAAAGCAAACTCATCGGATTTCCTCAACTTCATCTGGAAAACTAAATGATTTAACAAGTATAACAAAGTAACTTCGCAAAGTTTTTGGGAGCATCACAATATGTGCCTCCGAGTGGAAGTGCTGACAACTGTCAGCACGTGCTTTATG